AGAAGACATACAAATGGCTAACAGACACATGAAAAAATGTTCATCATCATTAGCCATCAATGAAATTCAAATCAAACCACGCTGAGATACCACCTTACACCAGTTAGGATGGCAAAAATTGACAAGGCAAGAAACAACAAATGTTGGAGAGGTTGTGGAGAAAGGGGAACCCTCTTACACTGTTGGTAGGAATGCAGGTTGGTACAGCCACTTTGGAAAACAGTGTGGAGGTGCCTCAAAAAATTAAAAATAGAGCTCCCCTATGACCCAGGAATTGTACTACTGGGTATTTACCCCAAAGACACAGATTTAGTGAAAAGAAGAGCCATATGCACCCCAGTGTTCATAGCAATGTTCGCAATAGCCAAACTGTGGAAAGAGTGGAGATGCCCTTCAATTGATGAATGGATAAAGAAGATGTGGTCCATATATACAATGGAGTATTACTCAGCCATCAGAAAGGATGAATACCCAACTTTGACATCAACACGGATGGGACTGGAGGAGATCATGCTAAGTGAAATAGGTCAAGCAGAGAAAGTCAATTACCATATGGTTTCACTTATTTGTAGAACATAAGGAATAGCATGGAGGACATTCGGAGAAGGAAGGGAAAAATGAGGGGGGGGAAATCGGAGGGAGAGATGAACCATGAGAGACTATGGACTCTGAGAAACAAACTGAGGGTTCCTTAGGGTAGGGGGGTGGGAGGATGTGTTAGCCTGGTGGTGGGTATTAAAGAGGGCACGTATTGAATGGAGCACTGGGTGTTACACGAAAACAATGAATCATGGATCACTACATCAAAAACTAATGATGTATTGTATGGTGACTAACATAACATAATAAAATAAATTTAAAATATCAGTCAAGGGATTCACAAAATAAAAGGATATAAAGTATGATGTCATATATCTAAAATGTGGGGGAAGAGGAGTAAAGAATGGGTTCAAACTTAAGTGACCATTAACAATGTAGACTACTGTATGCATAAGATGTTATATATAAACCTAATGGTAACAACAGATCAAAAATCAGTAATAGATATGGAAAAAATAAAGCAAAAGGAATCCAACATATCATTAAAGAAAGGCAGTAAACCATGAGAGAATATAGCAAGAGAGGAAAAGAACAAAGAGGAACCACAAAAACAACCATAAAACAAATTAACCAAATGGCAATAAATAACATACCTATCAATAATTGCTTTGAATGTAAATGGACTAAATGCTCCATTCAAAAGACATAGGGTGAGGGAATGGATAAAAAACAAGACCCATCTGTTTGCTGCCTATAAGAGACTTACTTCAAATGTAAAGACATGTGCAATTTGAAAGTGAACCAATAGAAAAGCATTTATCATGCAAATGGAAGTGAAAAGAAAGCCAGGGTAGCAATATGTATATCAGACAAAATAAGCTTTTAACCAATGAGATAGAACAATTGTAAATATTTATGCACAAACATGGGAGCACCCAAATATATAATAGCATCTAGTAACAAACATAAAGGAAGTAACCGATAGTAATATAATAATAGTAGGGGACTTTAACACCCCAGTCACATCAATGGATAGATCATCCAAATAGAAAAATCAACAAGGAAACAGTGTCTTTGAATGACACATTGGCCCAGTTGGATTTAACAGATATATTCAAAACAGTCTATCCTAAAACAGAATTCACATTCTTTTCAAGTGCACATAGAACATTCTCCAGAATAGATCACATATTAGACCCCAAAACAAGTGTCAACAAATTAAAAAAGACTGAAGTCATACCATGCATTTCTTCTGAGCACAACTCTATAAAACTAGAAATTAGTTACAAGAAAAAATATGGAAAGAACACAACTACATGGAGGTTAAGTAACATTCTACTAAACAATGAATGGGTCAACCAAGAAATCAAAGAGGAAATAAAAAAATAGAGACAAGGAAAATGAAAACATAATGGTGCAAAATCTTTGGGGTGCAGCAAAAGTTGTTCTAAAAGGGAAGTTTATAGCAATACAGGCCTACCTCAAGAAGCAAGAAAAACCTCAAATAACCTAACCTTACACCTAAAGGAGGTAGAAAAAGAACAAAAAAACCCCAAACCAATAGAAGGAAGGAAATAATAAAGGTCAGAGCAGATATAAAGAAAATAGAAACTAAAAAAACAATAGATCAGTGAAAATAGGAGCTGGTTCTTGGAAAAGATCAACAAAATTGATAGACCTTTAGCCAGATCATGAAAAAGAGAGAGAGAGAGGACTCAAAATCAGAAGTAGTAGAGGAGAAATAACAACTGACAGCACAGAAATATGAAGGATTATAAGAGAATGTTATGAAAAAGTCTATGTCAACAAATTGGACAACCTAGAAGAAATGGTTAAATTCCTAGAAACATGGAACCTCCCAAAACTGAATCAGAAAGAAATAGAAAATTTGAGCCAGCAATGAAATTGAATCAGTAATCAAAAGACTCCCAGCAAACAAAAGTCCAAATGGCTACACGGTGAATTCTACCAAACACTTAAGGAAGAGTTAATACCTTGTTCTCAAACTATTAAAGAAAAGAGAGGAAGAAAAGCTTTCAAATTCATTCCATGAGGCCAGATAAAGACCCTATAAAAAAAGAATCACAGGCTAATATCTCTGATGAACATAGATGCAAAAATCCTCAACAGAATATTAGCAAACTGAATCTAACAACACATTTAAAAAATCATTCACCATTATCAAGTGGGATTTATTCCTGGGTTGCAAGGGGGATAAAAAACCATATGATCATTTAAATAGATGCAGAGAAAGCATTTGACAAAGTACAACATCCATTGATGATAAAAACAACAAAGTAAGCTTAGAGGGAACATACTTCAAACATAATAAAGGCCATATATGAAAAACCCACAGCTAACATCATACTCAATGGTGAAAAACAGCTTTTACCCTAAGGTCAGTAATAAGAATGTCCACTCTTACCACTTCTATTCAACTTAGTACTGGAAGCCCTAGCTACAGCAATCAGACAACAAAAAGAAATAAAAGGCATCCAAATTGGTAAGGAAGAAGTAAAACTGTTACTATTTGTAGATGACCCGATACTATAGACTCCACCAAAAAACTACTAGAACTGATGATGAATTCCATAAGGTCGCAGGGTACAAAGTCAATAAACAGATATCTGTTGCATTTCTGTACACTAACAATGGAACACTGGGTGTTATACGCAAACAATGAATCATGGAACACTACATCAAAAACTAATGATGTAATGTATGGTGATTAACATAACGTAATTTAAAAAACCCCCAAAACAGTGAAATAGCAGAAAGAGAAATTAAGAAAACAATTCCATTTAAAGTTGCACCCAAAATAATAAAATATCTAGGAAAAAACTTAACCAAGCAGGTGAAAGACCTGCACTGTGAAAACTATAAAACATTGATGAAACAAAGACAACATAAACAAATGGAAATGCTCATGGGTTGGAAGAATTAATATTGTTAAAAATGTCTATACTACCCAAAGCAATCTACAGATTTTAATGCAATCCCTATCACAGTACCAACAGAATTTTTCACAGGAGTAGAACAAGCAATTGTAAAATTTGTATGGAACCAGAAAAGAACCTGAATAGCCAAAGCAATCTTGTGCAAGAAGAATAAAACAAGAAGAACAATCCTGGATTTCAAGATATACTACAAAGCTGTGGTAATCACAACAGTATGGTACTGGCACAAAAATAGACACATAGATCAATGGAGAATAGAGAGCCCAGAAATAAACCCATGATTATATGGTCAATTAATCTTTGACAAAGAAGGTGAGAATATGCAATGGGAAAAAGATGGTGTTGGGAAAGTGGACAACTACATACAAACGAATGAAACTGGACCACTTTCTCACACCTTAAAATGGATTAATCCATTTTTAAGGTGTGTCCTTAACATTATTAAGGACATAAATGTGAGACCTGAACCATAAAAATCCTAGAAGAGAGTACGGGCAGTAATTTCTTTGGCATTGGCCATAACAGCATTTTTCTAATATGTCTCCTGAGGCAAGGGAAACAAAAGCAAAATTAAATTATTAATTAAATTAAACTATTGGAGCCCAGCAAAATAAAGGACTTCTGCATGGCAAAGGAAACAATCAACAAAACGAAAAGACAGCCTACTGAATGGGATAAGATATTTGCAAATGACATGTCTGATAAAGGGTTAGTATCCAAAATATATAAAGAACTTATACAACTTAACACCCCCAAAATAAGTAATCCAATTAAAAAGGGACAGAATACATGAATAGACATTTCTCCAAAAAAGACATCCAGATGGTCAACAAGACATGTGAAAAGATGCTCAATGTCACTTATCGTCAGGGAAATGCAAATCAAAACCACAATGAGATATTACCTCATACCTGTCAGATTGGCTAAAATAAAAAATACAAGAAATTGCAAGTGTTGACAAGGATGCAGAGAATAAGGACCCCTTGTGCGCTGTTGATGGGACTGCAAGCTGGTGCAGTCCCTGTGGAAAACAGCATGGAGATTCCTCAAAAAAATTAAAAACGGGCACCTGGGTGGCTCAGTTATTAAGTGTCTGCCTTTGGCTCAGGTCATGATCCCAGAGTCCCAGGATGGAGCCCCATGTCAGGCTCCCTGCTCAGCAGGGAGTCTACTTCTCCCTCTGCCCCTTACCCCACTTGTGCTCTCTCACTCTCTCTCTCTCTCAAGTAAAACCTTTTTAAAAAACAAATGTTTTTAAAAAAATACTAACCTTTATTTAGAATAGCTTGCAAATATATAAAAAAGTGAAAATGGCTAGTAATGACAAATGTATCAAGTTTCTTAGACAATGACAATAAAAAAAATCTAGTTTCATTTAGATAAGTAAAACTGATAAAGCCTTTACTCCTACAAATATATTTTTCAAAATATAATATTTTCTAGTATTTATATGATGATTTTATAGCTGTTCATTATTAACCTTTGGTTATATCTTCTTTGCAGCAATTTTACCTGCTCAGGAATGGAAACCTCCTCTTCCTGCTTATGATTTTCTAAGTATGATGGATGCTGCCGCATCTCAACATCCCACAAGGAAAGATCCTGAGTGTACAAAAGAAACAGATGCACAGGAGAATGATAAAAAACATGAAGATAAATCAGCATTCAGAAAAGAACCAATTGAAACACTGAGAATAAAGCATTGGAATAGAAGTAATTTGTTTAAAGGAGAAAAATCATTTAAGCATGATAATAAAGAGTTATGATGCTCTAAAGAGTTACGAATTGGTTTCATAGGGCTGTGGAGAGCTTTACAAAGTCTTTTTAGTTTATTTGATAGATTGAAGAATTTATTAAAAAATAATATTAAATCATTTCAAGTTTCTAGACCAGTTTTGTCCGATGGAAATATAATGTGAGTCATATATGTAACTTAGAATTTTCTAGTAGCACATTTAAAAAAATGAAAATGAGCAGGTGAAATTAATTTTAATCTTTCACCCAGTAAGTATACCAAAATAGCTCAGTTAACATAAAAATTATAATGAGATATTTTACATCCTTTTTTTCTATCAAGTCTTCAAAATCCAGTGCATATTTTACCCTTACTGTACATTTCACTCCAGAGTAGCCACACATGGCTAGTGACTGCTGTAGTGGATAGCTCAGCTCTAGACAAAAACTGGTGTACTTAATTTAACTTAGTTCTAGCCATGAATTAGAATAAAAATGCAACTCTAATCACAGTCAGTTCCACAATGGTATCACACAGCTGGAAATTGTATTTGTTTTGTTGTAGACATGATGTTAAAACCAGTGTTTTTAAACAGGGAGCAGTTTTGCCTCCCCGGGGACATCTGGCAATGTCAAGAGACATTTTTGCTTGTCATGACTAGGGTTGTTACTGGCATCTAGTTGGTAGAGGCCAGGAATGCTGCTAAACACCCTATCATGCATTGGACAGCCCCTCATGGCAAAGAACTATCCTGCCCCAATGTCACTAGTGCCAAGGTTGAGTAACCCTGTGTTAAACTAACCTGTGGTAAAATGTTCTTGTTTTGCTCAGTTATGTCTGAAAAAATCTCGAATATTAGAGATAAATATTAGGTGGTCTTATCCTGATTATTATCTGGACACAACCATGTCTTTTATTATAAATTCATTTTTATAGTATTTTTAAAAGGTGATAACTCTAAAAAGGACTCAGAATTTTATATATATATAGTTATATATGATATATATCATTTAGTTATATAATTTAATATAAATTATAAATTTAATTATATATAACTATATATAATTGGTGTGTGTGTGTGTATAAAGGTATATGAGATAAAGATATATATGTGTAAAGGTATATAAGAAAATCTTAAAACCTGCTCTTAATTCTATACGTTATATTGCTAAATTGAAGAGGACTTAGACATTCTGCTATCCTCTTCACAAAAAGAGAGGCTCCCTCCTCTGAACCATGTGTGAAATCTACCTTTGTAAGATTCGGACAAATCAATTGGTCTCCCTCATCTATCTAATGAGAGAAGAAGCCATAGGGCCTCATCTATATAATGAGGGAAAGATCAGCCAAAGAATTAATTTTTATTCTAAAAGCACTTACTTGTCAGACTGATCTGTTTGTAGCAGTTGTCTCATTTTCACTCCATGCATTTTTTTTTTTTTGAGACATTTGTTGAGAACATCCTACTTGGTGCTCCACTGTATTTCTCCCTTTTAATACCTAATATCTTGTTCTTAAAATTTTCTGCACATAGTTTGCCTAATACAACTGAGTTCATAATTGGAATCTAAAAAAGCAAAAATAGCTATTTCATTCTAAATAGATCCTTTGCTACTGTTCACACCCCTTCCTTGATATTTTTTCTCTAGCATGTAATGCATATTATTTCAGTTCATTCTCATTTGTTTTGATTTCTAACATGGGAGATATGAGAATGAACTGTAAATATAGTTTGTAGTAATAAAACATTATTAACCTAACCATTAGAAAATGCTAATTAACTATAAGCACACAGAAACATGAAGTTGATTAGTTATTGTACCATAGCCAGCAATTCTGACAGTTGTTAATAACATGTTCTTCTCATAATTTTAAATAAAGTATCTGGATTTCAGGCTACCTTCAAAAACTTCCTTTAACCTCTGTCGTGCCCTCTATTTTACCACTTACCTGTATCTATTGGGTTTCTTTGGTTGCAAGCAACAGAAACTTAAGCAAAATGGAAATAGTGGGTAATTCATGGAGTTAGAAGAAAGAATAAGCCACATTTAAAAACAATAGGAATCAAGGCTGTTCTGGGATCTCTGTGTGAGGAACCAACAGCTCGGTGATGAATCAGTTCCAACTGTTTTTCTATCTTTTGTGACTCAGGGAATCCTAGGAAACTTGCTTAGGCGGAAGAGTGGGCACTTTATTTCGGAGCCCTTACCAGACTTCCACAATGCAGAAGAGGTAAATCTCACAGAAGAAATCTAGATTTTGTTTACCAAAAAAAAGAGTGAATGTAGAGAGGGTTTTCCCACGACACCACTTGCTGTTCTTCTATCTTTGTATCCTTTTCAGGTCTTTCTGCCATATCCTCCTGTTCATTTTTGAGAGCTTCAAAAGCCCTCTTTCTAACTCCAAGTGGTTGGAGTTTTCCTCAGTGTTCCCCTGATCTTCTATAAGATTTGGTCACTTCATATGTACGTTCTGCAGAATATCTCTCACGAATCAGATTCTTTCACCCTTCCCTGCTTCACCTGTGCTAGAAGGTAAACATCCTTGGTCCATTGCTTCCAGCTCTGGGATGAAACATTCCATGGATAGTTTTTCAAAATTCTTAGAGTTCTTCATCCAAGTTTACACTGCTTTAAAAAACTAATTAAACATGTGCATAAGCAAAACAATGGAGTTTACAAATCAGTAAGTGTCTATCTTTGATAATAGAAAGTAATCAAATAAATACATCTTAGGAGCTGTGCTTCTCCTTAATATGTAGAAAGCTGCATGAGAATGTTACCCCCATCCTAACATCAAGAAAAAAAATCATAGTTTTTCTTACTCCCCATCAGAGAAGGCAACCAAAGGAACTGAACAAGACCTTTCAAGGGGAGACAGGATATATGAATGGTTTCCCCTTTGGCAGGGAGTATAATACTAAAGCAAGTAAGAAGAAATTATCAAGAATTTGGAAGAGTCTAAGATATTACCCTACCTTCAAGTTATGTTAGTGTGCCACAGTTTCCTGAATCAGAGGAAAAGGACTTTATTACTCACTGTAATGGCGTTTATCAGAGTGCTAGTTCCCTGATCCCCAATCCTACAGTGCCATCAGAAGAGGTCCAGGTGACACCTATACAGGCAGTGGGTCCCATTGCAAGGGAGGAAGCCTGAGTTCAGGGAACCTAAATGTTTTCTAATAGGTATAAAGTATGCCTGCCCTTTCCTCTGGAAGGAGACATCTTTATGATAGTGGACAGTAATCAAACCTAGCTCTTATTTTCCCAGGCTGAAAAGGTAGTCCAAGACAAAGGCAATCAGTGCTTCTATTCATAAATCAATCAGAAGTGGGAGAGCTTGGAAGAATTGTCTCCCAACAGGATTCAGCTAAAATTTTTAAAGTATTCTTTAAAGACTAAGTGTGGATAAAAATATAAGCTTGGAATAAGTGGGAACCCTGACAGGACAACAGTTAACATTCATTCACAAGCCTTCACTGGGTACTAATGAGAACCCCGAGGGCAGAAGCCTGGCAAGAAGAGATCCCTCAGTGACACAGGCATGCAGGTAGTGGTTGATAGAATGGTACTGGGTGGCAGATGTGAAACATTACCCACTTCCTCAGATCTTTCTCTTGCATAAGTAAAAGCCATTAGGCCCTGGTGGAGGGACAGCAAGCCTTCCTGCCTCCAGGGCCCAGGCAAACATCCACTGCCTCTGGGGGAAGGGCAAGTACAAGAACTTTTGCCCCTGAGGAGAGGCAGAATACCTCTTAGGCCCAGGATCCTGCCCCAAAACCAAGCAGAAATCTATCCCTGGGAGAAAGTAAGAACACTTCTGTTTAAGAATTGTGAGAAGTGTCTCTGCCATGTTTAACTGCCATGGGGGAGGAGTTAGAAATTTTCAGAAGGTGCTACCACAGGGTCCAGGTACACAGACTCTACTTAAGTCTGAGGATGGGCCAGGGGAACCAAGAACTTATACTCCCACTTATCAGCTCAGTAAAAAATAACAAGCAATAGCAGTTTACAACTTCGGGAAGCACAAGATTGTGGGATGACACAAGCAACCAGGAATTGCTGAAAGCTGAGGGTGGAGCTGGAAAATGAACCCTCTGGCGCCTGGGTCTGACTTTAAGTACAAGATGATAGGAGTGCATTCCTGAAGGAACATGCAGACCATAGTGCAGTAAAAGTAAAAATAACAAAATCAAAACCAGTTTCAACTGACTAGATTTACACAGGCCTTCACACTAATGGCCAGATGTAGATGTTATCAATCTATCTATATTGTTTTCCATAAGATGTGTGGCATTCAGTTAAAAAGTCTAAGACTAGGGACATCTAGCTGGCACAGTCGGTTAAGCATCCAACTCTTGATTTCAGCTCAGGTCATGATCTCAAGGTCATGAGATGGAGCCCCATGTCAGGCTCTGTGCTATGTGAAGAGTCTGCTTCTCTCTCTCTCCCTTTTCCCCTCCCCCTGCTCGCACTCTCTCTCTCTAAATAAGTCTTTAAAAATTCTAAGACTAAAAGCAACGTAAGAAAAAACAATCCATTGTGAAGAGATGAGACATGACAGAACTAAACTCAGAGACATCCCAGATACTGGAACTGTGAGGCCAAGACCATAAAGTAACTGGGATTAATGTGTAAAAGGATTTGATGGAAAAGATGGGCAACCTACCTGAACAATGGGAAACTTTAGCTCGGTTAGAAATGAAAAAACATGCTAACAACAATGAAGCCTTTGGTGGGTTTATTAATAGACTTGGCACAGCTGAGAAAAGAATCTGAATTTGAAGATAGGTCAGTGGAAATTATCCATAGTGAAACACAGAGAGAAAAACAATAAATGAATAAAACAAGATAGATGATTCAAAAGCTGTGGGATAATATCAAACAGTCTAACAGACATGTAATTGGAATTCCAGGAGAAAAGAGAGAAAGCAGAAGTATTTGAAGGGAGAGTAGTTGAGAAATTTCAAAAATTAATGAAAGACAATAAATCACATATCTAAGATGCTCAGAGAACCCCAAGTAGGATAAT